ACATCTAAACGTAACGATACGTTACGCGCGTCGCGAGAACCGAGTCATATTACATCCGCGATAACGAGTGTCGCCGACCGGTCTAAGTCACGAGCGAGGACTTTAACCCGAATATATTCTTTAATTAAATCAATTCGACAATTGTAACCAACTATTCGAATTGTAACATAAGCAATTAACCACCAAAGTGTAATCATTCAATCGGGTAATTATAATAATTAAATAAAGGGTTACGATTACTTGAATAAATGTAATCAGTGGTAATAACCACTCGAAATTGTAAGTGTTATAATAAATAAAAGGGGTTATTTTAATAAAAGTGTGGTGCAGTGAGTGTTTGTTCTACGACCTTGACCACTTTCCTCGTTTTCCTCGTGGGTTCCAACCCTTTGAGCGGATCGAATCCCAAAATAATATCTTGTTGCACCGAGAGGTACAACACTACCGACGGCCCGCCTTCTCGCTGTCTGGTATACGGCGGTCCTGTCCGTCGGACCCGCGCCTCCTCGAGGCGTTCCTCCTTCATTCGCCGGACGTCCGGTCCTCCTGCGGCCCTCACTTCTCTCAGGCATAGGCCGGCCGACCGCTACCTCGGCCCTGGTGGCCGCTCCTCTCCTACTCTTATCCGTTGCTGCTTGCTTCAAACTGCCGTCGTTCTTTCTTCGGTGAGGCGTCACTCATTTTACATGCAATTAAATCGTGGGGATTAGAAAATAATACTTAAATCGCTAATTACGGCCCCTGGAGATTTCGCTCGCTCGCCATTCCCGGCCCGGGTCATGCGCTCATTCGCGCTTTTTGGCGGCGAAGGGTCGCTGCGACGATGCAGCGAAACTGCAACGTCACAGTACATACATATATAATTATAACATTGCATGTACCAATACATGTCTATCTGCAACATTAAAATATTTTGTCTATATCATTGTGTATATACACACATATGTATGCAAACATAAAACATATAAAGTGCAATATTCACTAATATGCACCTTCACATGCAATATTGGAATTAAATTTTATGTATACACATATACATAACGGAATGGCATTTACTTTTTATAGCGAGTTGATTCTCAACTTCGCCTGCCTTTTTCAAAAGTATTTTTGCAAACTCGTCGTTTAATAATTATCAATCTTTGATATGTTTTCTCAGACATACATGGCGCATTCACATCTGCTAATATCTCTTATACTTGAGCATATCAATTCAGACGTTATGATTGCAGTTGTCATAGCCATGTTGCCCAAGCTTTTACATCTCTAGGATGTAACAAAAAATTGTCTTCATAATTACACATTTGGCATTTGAAGAACTATGGCAATATCAGTATTATTTGATTAAATATCTCTGATATTTATTGTATATACCAGTACCGTCAAAAGAGACGCTTCTGGCATTTCTAGCAAATTGTTGTATACACATGCATATGATGATACAGACCAGTACTGACAAGACAGATGCTTCTGGCATTTGTAACAAAGTATTGTATACATGTATATGGCAGTATAAATCAGTATCATCCTAAAAGATGCTTCTGACATAAATTTTGCCATAACAATTACAACAAACGCTTTCGTTTCTTTATCTCTGATATTTATTTTACCAGTACCATCAAAATAGACGCTTCTGGCATTTATAATAAAATATTAATACATGCATATGACTATACAAATCAGTACCGTCAAAATAAACGCTTCTGATGTTTATTTAGCCATAATCAGAATAAAGGCCTTTGATAAATATATTAATCAATATCGTCTGATTAGATGTCTCTGATATTTATTCTATATACCTGTACCGTCAAAAGAGACGCTTCTGGTATTTCTAGCAAATTGTTGTATACACACATATGATGATACAGACCAGTACTAACAAGACAGATGCTTCTGGCATTTGTAACAAAGTATTGTATACATGTATTTGGCAGTATAAATCAGTACCATCCTAGAAGATGCTTCTGACATAAATTTTGCCATAACAGTTACAACAAACGCTTTCGTTTTTTATCTCTGATATTTATTTTACCAGTACCATCAAAATAGACGCTTCTGGCATTTATAATAAAATATTATATACATGCATCGGTCATCAGCACGAATAAAAAACGAAAATGTACGGCCAATCTTAAACTTTAATGAGCATTTTTTTATTTTAATCCGTACTGTTATTGACAGTGAAAACTCTGTTACAATGTAGCTCTGAATGCTTGTTCGCGGCGCGTGAGCCGTCTGCAGTCTCAACGCGATTCATAGCATTGCAGGATTCGCAAGTCGACACAGCATGGCAACATGGTCGGCGCGCCTACGTGGCAACGTAGCGTCGAGATCGCTCACGCGCCGCGGACCAGCATTCAGAGCTTCATTCTAATAAAGTTTTGACTGTCAATAACAGTACGGATAAAAATAAAAAAAATGCTCATTAAAGTTTAAGATTGGCCGTACATTTTCGTTTTTTATTCGTGCTGATTGGATAATTAGTTCATGAGAACGAAAATCGCAAATCTAGTCATTTTTCAAGCTCTGTCATTTTCTATCTCGAAAACTATTGATTTTAGCAAAAAAGTCTGAAAGACAAAAAATGTTAATTTTGACCCAATTTAGCATACAGAATTTTTTCGGAATTTTTGTTCACAGTTTTGATCTTTTAAAATCTAGATCCAACGTTTTAGCGACTGAAAATGGTTAGACTCGATTCCTTATATTATTCTGCGAAAAAGCATATATATACACTTTCTTTGTGAAGTGGTCATTAAAAAGTCACAAACAGTTTTTTGTTTAAAAAATCAAAACTTTGAACAAAAATTTCGAAAAAATTCTGTAAGCTTAATTGGTTCAAAGTGAACATTTTTGGGCTCTCAGACTTTTTTGATAAAATCAATAATTTTGGAAATAGAAAATGTCAGAGCTTGAAAAATGACTAGATTTATGATTTTCGTTCTCACGAACTAATTATCCAATCAGTACGAATAAAAAATGAAAATGTTGGGCCAATCTTAAACTTTAATGAGAATTTATTTTATTTTGATCCGTACTGTCATAGACAGTGAAAACTTTATTAGAATGGAGCTCTGAATGCTCGTCCGCGGCGCGTGAGCGATCTCGACGCAGCGTTGCCACGTCGCGTCGGCGCACCGAGCATGTTGCCATACTGTGTCGACCTGCGATACTATGAATCGCGTTGAGACTGGAGACGGCTAACGCGGCGCGGACCAACATTCAGAGCTTCATTCTAATAAAGTTTTGACTGTCAATAACAGTACGGATAAAAATAAAAAAAATGCTCATTAAAGTTTAAGATTGGCCGTACATTTTCGTTTTTTATTCGTGCTGATTGGATAATTAGTTCATGAGAACGAAAATCGCAAATCTAGTCATTTTTCAAGCTCTGACATTTTCTATTTCTAAAATTATTGATTTTATCAAAAAAGTCTGAGAGACCAAAAATGTTCACTTTGATCCAATTTAGCGTACAGAATTTTTTCGGAATTTTTGTTCAAAGTTTAGATTTTTTAAACATTAAATTGTAACTTTGAACACAACAAACGAATGAAATTTTTTTTCATTGATCGAAATTTTACAGA